ATTCTTTACTCTAGGTGAAAATATGCACAACAAAACAAACGTCCATTCAACAGTTTTCACATGTGCAGTTCATAGACAAAGGTCGTGAACTTCACACTGGGTCACCATTCTCATTCTCTTCCCTTATTATTTCACCACCATTAACTTAGACACTCTGCCCTCTAAAGTTCTAATCTGTGCTTCAGGTTGACTGTTGTCAATTTTGATCTCATATAGGTACTTCTTTAAAGAGTGCAAAATGTTCAAGGTGAACGTTCTTTACTAACTGAGCTAAACTGTCATTGAGTTTATGGGATAGTTTCTGTTCAAGGTTTAAAAATTGTTTCCAGGCAATAGATTTGGGGTCAACCCCCCATTCTTAATTAATATCAACAGTATTTTCTTAAATTAAGTCAAGTCCATAGTGCCAAGCAGATAGGGGCCTTTGCAGTAAAGGGTTAACTCAGTAGGCATGAAGTGCTCAAAGCTTGCACGTTCCAAAGAAAGGACTCTTCCTGGGAGACAGGCCCCTGGGAGACAATCTCTGAGCCCTTGGAATATCCTGCTTGATAAGAGTATCTTTGTTTATCTGAGATCTTGGTCCCTGACAGTTAGTTGATGCTTACATGTGATTTATGGTGATCGTTTGATTTTTGTGTGGCTCAAGCTTTGGGTCATACTGGATCAGTTTAAACTCTAAAGGACTGGAGAGATTGAGTAGCTAATATTAAGTCACACAGGTGCTCCATGCCTATGGGACTGACCCCTGATAAAAGCCCTGGACACCAAGGCTCAGGTGAGCTTCCCTGTTGGGCAATACTTCACACATCTTGTTGCACATTGTTACTGGGAGAATTAAGTGCTGTCCACATGACCATGGGAAGAGAACACCTGGAAGCTTACACCTGGTTTCTCCTGGATTCCATCCTATGCACCTTCTTCTTTGCCTGATTTTAATCTGTAGCCTTTCACTGTAATAAATTATAACCTTGAGAAGAAGAGCTCTTCTGAGTTCTATGAGTCCTTCTAATGATGCATTTAGGCTGAGGGTGGTCTTGGGGACCCCCAACATGCTCCTCCTAAGGCCTTCCCATGAAGAACTTCTGGGCCACCCTGCCTCAGAGATTGTGAATTTAGAAACAATGGCTGAGCTTGAGGGTGTAGATAAGAGACCTGTGACCAGCAGCCACCAGTGTGGAATGTGCAGGGTCTCCAGTACAGGCCTTCTCACAGCAGTGGAGCTCATGGGGAACATGGTCACAGAACACAGCTGGAGTGTGGACAGGACTGACTGAGGAGGGTCCTAGAGGATTTTAGATCATTCTGCATGTGGAGAAGCCTCAAAACAAGGACTTTGGATGTATTACTAACAAAGGTGGGGTTTGACAAGTGAGTGAAGAAATCAGTAAGATGCCACTTGTGGAGATGCCAAAATGAACCAGGTCAGATTAGTTACACACGCATTGGCCCATTTACTTTCACAGCAACTCTGCATCATGGCCTCCCCTTTTGCAGAAAAGCTGAGAATATTCAGTGGCTGATTGTCAAATGGCTCACCCAAGGTAAAATGACTTGCTCAAGGTCACATTGTTACTTAAGTACAGGTCAGAGTTTAATTTCACCCCATCAAACTATTATAACCTTAAAAACATAGCTATTATTAATTTTATATAAAAGCCATTTTAAAAACTCAGCAGCTCACCTTTCATGGCAGGAAGTCAACTGATAGTGTATAGAATTGAAAAGACTCCAAATTGCTAATGGTTTTTATAACCCCTAAAGGGTTCTGGTGGCATACTGGTTAAAGCATTCATCTGCTAACCAAAAGCTCAGTGGTTTGAACCCACCAGCTGCTCCGTGGGAGAAAGATGAGGGAGTATGCCTCCATAGAGATTTACAGCCTTGGAAACCTTATGCGGCAATCCTACTCTATGTTATGGAGTTGCCATGAGTTAGAATTGACTTGATGGCAGTTGGCAGTAGTTTATGTTATTTTTGACTTAGGATGAGAAAACAATGATCTAAAAGTCAGTGTATTTGCTGTTAAATTGAAGAAACAACATTTTATAATTAAAAAATACTATATATAGTATGAGGAGCTCTGGTGGTGTAGCGCCTAAGGCGTTTGACTGCTAACTAAAAGGCTGGAGGTTCAAACCCACCAGCCACTCCTTGAAAGGAAGGTTGGGCAATCTACTCCTGTAGTGATACCACCTCGGAAAACCAAGGAGGGATCGCTATGAGTTGGATGGCAGCAGAGTTTGGTTTGTTTGTTTTGATACATAGTATGATTCCTTTGTTCAAAATTATTACTTCCTATTTTAACAATATGTATTCATAGAAAGATGTCTACAGTAACAACCTTCATATGTGAACATGGGTTAGTTCTGACCGTATAATTCTGGGGGATTAATTCCATTTTTTCTTTGTAGTTTACTGTCTTGTTTGAATTTCTTTTAGAATTTTATACTATGTTTATAGTAAAGTTGTATTTCTGGGAAAAAAGTTAAGCAGCTTGTCATTTTCTAAATATACTATCTGGCATCAATATAAAAATGACACGTTTCCTGCCTCAAACTCTTTGCAGAGTTCTCTGCTTCTCCCTTTACCCCACACACAACAGCCATTCTCTCCCTGTGTCATATTTCTAGGAAAGAACATGGATGACTTTTTTTTTTTTTGGTGGGGCATCTTTTGTGTGTAGCAAAAAATATATATAATCAAACATTTGCCAATTCAACAATTTCCACATATATAATTCAGTGACATTGACAACATCCATCATGTTGTACAACCTTGTGGTAGAGTGAATAAGTTGTGATGGCCCTTCTAGCCATAGTCTTTGTGACTTCCACAAAATGATTGGGTGGAACTATGCAAATTAGGTGCTTATGGTCCACCAATGGATCAGGCAGCTTGCTGATAATGTAAATAAGGTGTATGGAACCTGTGATGGTTAAGAGGTTATGTGTCAACTTGACTGGGTCATGATTTTCAGTGGTTTGGCAGTTAAGTAATTATATAATTTGTCAGTTAAAAATGATGTAATTTTCTTCCATTTTCTGATATGCCTCTATGCCTGTAGTTATAGCCCCATTCAAGAGTGAGTTGTCCATTATGCTAAGGAGGCAGGATTAGGATGAGATGTACCTTGAGTCACCATCATACTAGAGGGTATGACTCAAGTCACCACCCTTACCCCACTTCCACCCTTTATACCCTTGTACCTCCTTGCTCAAGTAAGGGGGGTTTCCTTGAGAGTATGGTATATATGAATACTCTGGCTCCTGCGTCTCACTCATCATCATCTGACCTCCAGTTCTTGTAACTTGAGCCAGCAGCCTATCATCTGATTTGATTCACCAGCTTTCCAGACTTTTGAGGCACCAGCCTGTCTGACCTGCCAATTTAGGTTTGTCAGCCCCTGCAACCATATGAGTCATGAGAAGTCTTCAGACTGAAGCCTGACCCACAGATTGGGGACTTTCCAGCCTCCACAAGTGTGTGAGCCATTTCCTTGATGGTTCATGAATTCTGTGAGACACTGCAGTGAATTATGGAATCTAAAGATGGGAGAGAGAGTACTGAGGGGAGGAGGAGGAGGAGTTGATGTTAGAGATGATGGAGTTGTATAGCAGTTTGCAAAAGCTGGACATTTGAGACATCTTTAGCCTTTACCTCACAGGAACCAAATTTGTGTTGATCCTTCTAAAAGAAGTAACTCACGCAAACCTTCACCACTATGCTGTTCCAAGTTATTCTGCCACCATTAACAGAAATTCAATATGGATGAAGTTTTTGTTCATATCCTTAAAAGAAGTAGTTTGGAAACTTGTTCAGAGCATCTAAAAACCATGATGCTCTTGGCAGAGCAACTTAAAATCCAAATACATCCAATTCCTTCCCAGGAACTAGAAACATTACTACAGCCAGAGGGTCGATTGCATTCTCACCTAACTCCCAGGATGCGCATACATCTCAAAAATCTTAATGGAGAAAATACTGTTAGGAAATCAGACATCTGAGCTTCTGCATCTATACTCCTTGATCACATGTTTATTAATTTTATCAATACCTATGAATGCAATAGATGAGCAAGTAAGTGGTAACTGATGTCAGCGATTCAAGAACTATTTGTAGTGCAAAAAATTCAGGCTGGGAAAATGCTGTCCATCAATTCAGCCATTTTCTACTATGGAGAAAATGCTGCCATTCTTTGATTTCTGAAGCAAAATACGTCAGGGCCGCTTAAGAAACACACATGTGAAGTTAAAGGTTTTAAAAGAGTTTCCTTGAAAGGCCAATTTGGTGAGCTTATTAGATTTTCTTTTCTTCCAGGCCAGGTATCAGCCAGTCATGTTTCCAATATGATTACACATCCCAAATGGGTGATAATAACATCTTGAGAGAGATGCAAAGCTTTATCCTCAGGGGAATAAATTTTTCCTGGTTTCTTTTGTCCTGCAGAGTTCATTAGGACTGTTGATTATTTGAACCTGACCCTCTTTGGCTTTCCTAGGAAAGACAGCTGCTGTACTCTCAGAAGTTTCTGTTGAAGCTACGAAGTGGGGTGTGTCTGCCCTTAAAAAGGGCCACACTACTTCCGCCTTCCACAAGGTACAAGAGGCAGGCCTGAGAAGGCTGTGTGAGAATGGTATCTCCCTGTCCTGCACTCGACTCTTTGGTACCCCCTAAACTCAACCTTTTCTCACAAGTGTTCAGATCCCCTGCCTGGGGGCTTTACCTGCATTGTTGTTGTTGTTTGCCACCTAGTCGGCCCCGACTCATAGCGAGCCCTCCTTGGGTTTCCGAGGTAGTATCACTACGGAAGTAGGATTGCCCAACCTTCCTTCCAAGGAGTGGCTGGTGGGTTTGAACCGCCATCCTTCTGGTGAGCAGTCAAGTGCGTTAGGCACTACGCTACCAGAGCTCCTGCATTATCGCCTGTGAATCCTCACATAATCCCCCCAAGGCAGGTGCTACCTCCTCCACTATACAGATAAAGAAACAGAAGCTCAAAGAGTAATTTTCCCAAAAGCTTACAGCTGTACATTAGTCAAGACTCAGAGGCTTTCCTGACTGCACAGCCCCATGCTTTCCATTGTGCCCAAAGATCCCCCCTGGCAGCTCTCTGACCAATTATACATGCACAGTGCGTGGCCCACAGCTGAAGTCAGGAGCTGGGGACTATAACTTTGATTATTACTGCTACGACCACCACTGTTCCTCAACAGTTACATGTCTTCTTTGGATTATATATTAAACTGTGAGTCCTTGGATGGAATTTTCAGTCATTTTGTTCTTCCTCACAACGCGTGTAACAGCCCTGTGTACCAAGTAGCCAAGACACTCTGGTAACTGAATAATCAGGGTGGGCCTGATGGTTCTGGGGCACCTTGGGATATGACTCCTCCCACAGCTCTCCTCCCACTTCCTCTCTGTGGTTACCCCTTCTCTGTGTCCTTCTTGCCTTGTATTTTTTCCTCCTTAACTTTCTTCTTGTGCAAATTCTGCCCTTCTGTCTCCCATGGTTGACTGTTGTAAGGCGTACATCTCCCTGGTGTAGATTTTCAGCTAGCAGGCCTGTCTATTGTTTGGCTGAGAATTAAGCCAGGGAGTGAGGCCAATTTCAGGCCTGAAGGGTAACTAGGGGGCATAGCCTCCGAGGATTTCACAAGTCTGTATCTGACCAGTAATCTAGGTCTTTCTTATGTGTTTTAGTTTTGTTCCACTCTTTTTCTGTATCCAGGATCTATTTAATAACCTTTTGTTCACTTCCAAATCAATACTTCTTTACTGCTTGCTGCTGCTACCACTAGCACTGGTTTGGCTGCGTTTGGGAGCCATCATGTACTTCATGGCAATATTTTCCAAAGAATATTGAACAGAGTAATAATGCTACTACACTCAAGAGACAGGATACGTGAGATTGGATGCTGTTGCCTGTGAGTCGAAGCATACACTGTTATATGGTAAACTCTTTAGATAGAAAGTACAGCACAGTGCATACATAAGCCTGTAGTACAGGCATTTATTATAACCATCAAGACACATGTATTATAGGTTATATATGCACTGTACCATTATACGCTCAGCAATGTAATCACTTTGAATACAAGAGACATGAGATATACATGTTCCATGTGGGAAGCTTCACTATATCCCATTCTCCGACAGGGATTTCTAAACTCTATTATAATCTTATGGGACCATGGACGTAAATGTGGTTGGACATTGCCTGAATGGATGTTATGCAGTGCATGACTGCACATATCTAAAAGAATTAAAAGCTGGGACTCAAATAGATACTTTACACCTATGTTCACTGACACATTATTCACAGTAGCCAAAGGTGGAGACAGCCCAAGTGTCCATCAACAGACAAATGGATAAACAAATGTGATATATTCATACATTAGAATATTATTCAGTTATAAAAAGCAATGGAAAAGTTCTAAAAGATACTACAATAGGAATGAGCTTTGTAAGTGAAATAAATCCATTGCTTTTAGGTCAATTCCAACTCATAGTAAACCTATAGAGGACAGAACAGAACTGCCCCATAGGGTTCCTAAGGCTGTAAATCTTTACGGAGGCAGACTGACAAATCTTTCTCCCGCACAGTGGCTAGTGGGTTCAAACTGTTGGCCCTTCAGTTAGCAGCCAAGTGACCTAACATTGCACTACCAGGGCTCCAGGCAAAATAAGTGAGATACAAAAGGACAAACTTCTTATGACCTACTGCTCTGGCTCCCTGGTGCCGCTCTGACGAGAAAATAGACCACACACGGGATGGCCTTAACAAACAGGAGTTTATTCCTACAATTTGGAGGCTTTACGTCCAAGTTCAAAGAACCAGGCTCTAGGGGCTGGGTAAAAGCCCCTCAACCTTGGGATCCAGCTCTGCCTCCTGCTCCTGGCCCACTGGAGCTAGAGGCATTTTTTTCACTCAGACAGCTGCTGGCTGCTGAGGCTGCCAAGCCCAAGATTGACAAGTAAAAAGGCACATTCTTGATGTTACCAAACCACACAGCAGGCCATTAACTCAAGTCCATTTTAAGTCCCAAGGTCGGCAGAGCATAGCAGGCTGCTGAGCAACGATACGGCTACACGCAGGGTCCAAGCGTGCCATAAGCTAGAGACCATTCCCAAAGGTTTCTCATATATAGGAAGCAGACCACATACCCAAAGGCAGCTACCCAGCTGCTCATGGTAGATCCCACCATGGAGCTGATTGCCAGTCTCCTCATGGAGATTAACTACCACCAGCTGCCCAGCCACTCAACCAGGCCCAGCCAAGTTGACATACAAACATAACCATCACACCTACTTATATGAAATATCTAGAATAGATCAATGCAGAGGCAGAATGCAGATAAGACATTAGCAGGGGTGAGGGAGATGGGAATTGAGAGCTATCACTCAGTAGGTATAGAGTTTCTGTTTGGGGGGATGAAAAAGTTTTGGAAATAGATTGTGGTGGCATAACATTGGGCATGTAATTAATGCCACTTGTATCGATTGTATAATTGGGAGCTAGGGTAGTGCAGTGGTTAAAGCATTTGGCTGCTAACTAAAAGGTCAGTGGTTTGGATCCACCAGCTGCTCAGTGGGAGAAAGATGAGGCAGTCTGCTCCCATAAAGGTTTATAGGCTTGGAAACCTATGGGGCAGTTCTACTCTCTCCTATAGGGTCACTATGAGTCAGAATTGACGCAATGGCAGTGGATTTTTGAATGGTATACTTAAAATGATTAAAATAGCAAATTTTATGGTATACATACTTTGTTATCATTCGATTCCAACTCACAGTGATTCTATAGGACAGAGCACAATTGCCCCATACGGTTCCCTAGGCTGGAATCTTCATAAGAGCAGACTGCCACATCTTCCTCCCGTGGAGATGCTGATGGGATAAACCGCCAGCCTTTCAGGTAGCAGCTGAGAGCTTCACCATTGTGCCACCAAGGCTCCTTTATATACACTTTAGCATAGAAACAATTATTTAAAAAAGAAAAAGAAAGCCAACAAGCAAGAGAGACCCACATGGCAGCCTCTGGCCAACTGCCAGTAAGAAATTAATACCCTCAGTCCAACAGCCCTCAAGGAACTGAATCCTGTCAGCTAGCACATGCAGGAGCCTCAGACAAGACCACAGTGCTGGCCAATGACTTGATTTCAGCCTTGGGAGAGACACAAAGGCCCAGCCAAGCCCCGTCCAGACTTCTGACCCACAGAAACTGTGAGGTATTAAATGTGTGCTGTCTTAAGCCTCTAAGTTTTGGACTAATTTGCTACACAGCGCTAGATAATTAATAGATATGCCAAATATATCATGTTTTCAGGGAGAAAGTTGTACTCCTATTATGACCTAAATTGGAAATAAACTGAATATTGGGGCTGACTCTCTAGGAATGGTGTGAGGGGCTAAGTAGCATTTTTGACCAAACACTTAGCATTCCCTTTGCTCTTATAATCAAAATGCTTGCAGTACAGAACTCACAAACTGTATTGTCTCGTTAACTTCCTCACTCGGGGAGGCTTGATTTCTGGCTTTTCCACAGCTGGTTGGGTAGTTTCCACACGTATAGCAATCGGACTTCTACAGATATTAAAAAAAGAAAAAGAAAAAGAAGAAGAATATCAACAAAAAAGATGTATGGCCTTGTTTTGGTAACAGGAACTGTTTTTTCAGTTAATTTATACCTTAATAGTGATGACAGACAGGAAATCCAATTTTTTCCTCTTATCTACTCTACTTATTAAATATAAATACTATAGAAAATCCAAAACCAAAAATCATAGGAAAGAAAATACAGCAAGTGGGGAACTGAACATCATTAGGGTACAGAACAAAATGTCCCTGCAAAAATGCCCTCCCTCCAATGTCAGGGTTTGGTTCCGAACCAAACCATTCTGTTTATTTGCCAATAAACAGAATGATGGGAAACCTATGGATAACCCACTTTTACTTTTAAGTAATCTGGTAGCTATGATATTTTAAATACCACACAATATATTTTAAAAAGAAAAGGATCATAGGGTATTGCATATGAAAAATGCGTAATCAGAAGACCTTAAACACCTGCTCTGAAATATATTTTAATTCTATATACACGTGAAATGTCAAGCATTAACTTTCACTTTTACTTTTCCTCAAGAAATTACACCAGATAACCAATGGGCCCTACTCAAAACAGTATTTTAAGAAGAAAGTTAATATATTTTTGTAGTGGTCATGGCTCATTTCACTAAAAAATCAGTAATCACCCTTTGGGACCAAAAGGACATCCAAAGAAGAAAACAAGTTGAAGTCCTCAGCAAGGGAGCTCTGGCAAGTGAACTAACTCTTCCAGGTCCCCATCTTCTCTTCCACTCAGTGCCTAACATGGTGATTGGCTATGGCCGGTGTCTAATACAAGTTTGTTGAGTGAACACATGAATGAGCAGATAAGGAATTGGAATCAGTGTATCTGAGGTTCATGATTTCTTCAAGCTGGGCCCCTAGAATGAACTGAACATGGTCCCTGGAAGAGCTCACAGTCTAGCAGGGAGCATATAACTTTACTTGGGTACAGTGGCTGGTACTGGGAAAGCTCCACAGAGCAGTTTAGACTTAGCCAGACAGAGGAAAACCATCAAGATGGAAGACGAATGAAGACCTGGAGAACACACGTAGGTTGGAACTGCTGGAGGGTGAGGTCCCAGAGGAAAAGCAGAGCATTGTAATGAGGGAAAGTATGCTCAGGAGTTTACACTGAAGGCAATGGCAGTCACTCAAGACTTTAAGCAAAGCGGCAGAGTCAGACTTGTGTTGCAGAAAGGTTCTTGAAGCAACAATGAGGACATTGGTGAGAAGAGACCAGAAGCATATGAGGATACTGTTGCAGTTATATGGGAGAGAGACGTTGAAGGCCCGAGGCAGAAAGGAATTGTGGTCACGAAGAGGACAAAAAGGATACAGGAGATAAGATGGAAGTAAAATTGGCAGGATGTGGTGACCAATTAGATGAGGGTAGAGGTAGAGGAAAGCCAAGGATGCACAGGTTACAGCCTGGGTGACAGGTAGACAGTAACGCTATTATTAACCGAGATTGGAAAGGCAGTGAGATGGGCTGGGCAGAGATGAATTAAATTTTTGAAAATGGGTATGTGTCCCTGAAGTATGATAAATACATACCAAACACATGGCTATGGGAAGCATAAGGTGATATGGAGAAATGTTTTTTGTTATTTTTACCATCTACTATAAGAATTCCCTAATCCCTGGGTGGCATAAACTGTGAATCTGCTCAGCTGCTCCTGAAAGGCTGGTGGTTGGAGTCCACCCAAAGGCACCCAGGAAGAAAGGCCTGGTGATCTACTTCTGAAAATCAGTCCTTGGCAGCCCAGTGGAGCACAGCTCTACTCTGACACACATGGGGTCACCGTGAGTTGGAAGTCCAGCTGACGGCAAATCACTGGTTAAGAGAATTTCCCCGGGAGTGATCCTTAGACCATCTGGGGTGCTAGCTGAAAATATGATTCCCATCACTACCCTGAACTCTGCCCCAAGATTTAAAAGTTCTGGAGTAGGAGTCAAGAATCTGCATTTTTAACAATAGAATCGGATGCAGTGGACTTAGATTCCCACCAAGGTGGGGACTGGACTCAATTTGTAGTTGTTCTCACTCTGGCTGAGAGGGGAAACATTACTGCTCTCTGTGAGGTCAGGGGAGAAAGAGTTTCCTCTGGGTTTGGAGCAGGGGAGGCCTAGAAGCTTTAAAGGCCACATGTGGTTATAGTATCGGCAAGCAACTCAAGGTGAGGGCCATGTCAGTGGGCCAAGAAGAGACTGATAAACTGAGCGGGAGCCAGGTAGTGAAGGGTCTCCTGTGCTCTGGACTCCATTCAGAGCAAAGTGGAGCCCAGAAAGGACTTTAAGCAAGGGACGGACAAGGTCAGATCTACAAGCTTGAGAGACAGCCCCACATCAACCCAAAATGAGTTCATCGTGAGTACCAAACCAAAACCCACTGCCATTGAGTCAAATCCAAACGATAGCAACCCTATAGGACAGAGTAGAACTGCCCCATGGGGCTTCCATGGCTATAATCTTCATGGAAGCAGACTGCCTCATCTTTCTCCCATAGAGCAGCTGGTGGGTTCGAATCGCTGACCTTGTGGTTAGCAGCCAGATGCCTTAACCACGCACCACCAGAGCTCCATCTGTTAGTATCGTAGGTAGAAATAGCAGCATTTTTGAGGCTTAATGGAACTTGTGTAAGCCAGTCTTCTACCTCTTCAGGCTCAAATTCTCTGTTTCATTTTTCCTCTCCAGTTTTATTAGCTAATGGCCTCATGGGCAGTGTGTTGAGGATAATGTTGATGATACGGACAGCATAGTTTCCCCATTCAAACAAGAAGCAACAGACCTTACATTAGCATCCTGAAGACTGGATTTCTTATTGACATTTATAAACGTTGACTCCTCTTTTCCAACCTATTAAGAAAACAGGTTAGTCAAATCTGAACATCTTGACATGCAAGACTGCTTTTAAATCTCCTACATTCAAAAGCTTATAGAAACCTGAAGGTGGACCAAGGAGGCAGTTGATCAAGTCCTCAGCCAGTCACAAACCTTGCTCTCGTATTTACATAAATTAACAAATGTTTTCTTGAGTCATTCCCCACCACGGGGATTAAGACTTAATCATTCGAATGCAATAACTTCTTTTATTGAGGGCCTGTTATGTGCCAGCTCATACCTGAAAGAAAAGGAGATGGTGTGGGATAAGCCAAGCCCACAGTTTAATCCTCCACCCCCATCTTAGATCAGGAATACTAATCATCTCCAGGCCCACAGAGCACTTAAGAGTTTACAAAGGGATTCAGAATCTGCCCTTTCACACCAGTTTAACAAGGCTGGGAGGAATTATGTCAGACAATTGTGATAGAGGCTGGTCTTCCTCCCTTTGGTGGACAAAGAGTGGGGGAAGAGTAAGGGATACTCATTCAGCCAGCCAGGCTAACTGACCCCACACTGGGGGGTCAATGGGAGAGGGAGCAGCCTGTGGTCCTTACACCCACCACAAACACACAGAGCTTGGTCTCTGCTCTAAGTACATGCTGAGCAAAGCTTTCAAGGGTATCAGCTGGAGGGTATCACATTATTAACTCCCAGGGTTGTCTAGATATGAGTCCAGCCCTATTCCCTGATCAAAGCCATTTTTACAGCCAGTAGCAGATAGTCAAAGGGCGCTGGTTGTGCAGTGGTTAAGCGCTGGGCTGCTAACTGAAAGTGGGCAGCTCGAATCCACCAGCTGCTCAGCTGGAGAAGGAAGTGACTGTCTGTTTTCATAAAGATTAACATAGTGACTCTATAGGACAGAGTACAACTATTGCCAGGGCTGTAATCTTTACCAAAGCAGACCACCACATCTTTCTCCTGAGGGATAGCTGAGTGGCTGACTGACTGGTGGGTTCCAATCATGGATCTTTCAGTCAGCGGTTGAGACTTAACCACTGAGCCCACTGCGCCACCAGCCTTGGAAATCCTGTAGGGACAGTTCTATTCTCTACTATAGGGTCACTGTGAGTCAGAAGTGGGAGCTCTGGTGGCCTAATGCCTAAGGCACTTGACTGCTAACCAGAAGGCTGGCGGTTCAAACCCACCAGCCACTCCTCGGAAGGAAGGTTGGGCAATCCTACTTCCGTAGTGATACTGCCTTGGAAACCCAAGGAGGGGTCACTATGAGTCGGATCCAACTCGAGGGCAATGGGTGTGGTGAGTCAGAAACAACTTGATGGCAACGGAAGCAGATACTCACATTGGCTGGTTTGACTTCCGCTTCTTCTCTGACACCCTTATTCTGCATTCACGCTAATTGGGAATTAACATTTAAGCCCCTATTGGTGTGCATCAGCCACCTCAGAAATCTGAGTTTCTCCATAGCGATTCTCTCCTAAGCTTCCAAATTTTAACAATTACAGCATCTTCTCTTTCTTCCCTCAGCCTTATGATTAGTAGGTGGGTTAGTAGGTATGATTAGTAGCTTCCTGTAGTTGCTACCTCTGGTAACTTGGTGCTACTCAAAGGGTGGAGCTGTGAGCTTATTAGAAATGCAAATCCATGGGTCCTACCCTGATATATTGAATCACTGGGGCTGGGGCTCCAGGTGACACTGATGCAAGTTCAAGTTTGGAAACCACTGCCTTCCAGTTCTCTTTTTGTCCTTTCACTCACTTAATAATTTTATATTAGTTCATCATTCTTTGCTCTTAGGTGGTACAAACAGTTAACATGCTTGGCTGCTAACTGGAAGGTTGGAGGTTCAAGTCTACCTAGAGACACCTTGGAAGAGAAGCTCGATGATCTACTTCTGAAAAATCACCCACTGAAAACCCTAAAGGGTGCAGTTCTACTCTGACACCCGTGAGGTCACCATGAGTTGGAAATGGCTTGAAGACAACTGGTTTTGGTTTTAAGAATTCTTCATATCATAATCTCTGTTCCAAAAGCAGGTGTGACTCCTGTCTCCTGACTGGACCTAACTGACCCAGCATCTCAACCCGACAGTGCCTCTTTGTTCTACGCAGCACTCAGGAAATCCTGTAAAGTGAAACCAAAAAACCATGCATGCCCCACACACCTGGCCATTCCCTCTGGAAGCATTCTCCAACTGCGCTTTCAAAATGTTACACTTGACGTGATCAGCTATAGGGGAAGGCAGAAGTGGAGTCTGAAGAGCCTTCTCAGAGACCTTCTTTTCTTCAGCCTGTGACAAAACACAAGGTATGCAACAGATTGTAAACAAAGAAAACACGTATATTAACTTTTCCAACAAACATAACCGCAAATCACACATTCACCTAAAAATATACCCAAGTGTGTCACCTCCTCCTTACAGCTGTCCCGGTGCTTTGCTCCTTGTGAAAGATACACAAGAACTTCATCTCTCTCTCCAGTGAAGTAGGGAGGGCACATTTCATTGAGCCCATCACTATACAAAAGACAAGGTGAAGTTCAAAGAGATGAAGAGGCTTTTCCAGAGTCATGCAGCTAGAACAAGATGGCGAACCAGGACTCATGCCTCAAGTTTGCTAGGCCCTAGCCTGGCACTGTTTCCATCATACCTGCTGCCCCTTACAGAGTCCCTGGGTGGTACAAACGGTTAACACACTTGACTTCTGAACAATCAGCCACTGGAAAAGGTCATCAGGAGTCAAGGTTGACTTGATGGCAACTAGTCTTTTAGACCTCTCACACACAAAGATCCAGTCCTGGGACTGGTGGGCCCAAAGGAAAAAGCAGAAAATATTTCTTGGTCTTTGTACAATAGATCTTGCTGAAAATTGTGACTCTCAACAGTGAGGCATTGGTACCTATTCTACCTCCATGTAGAGTATTTCATACTTCAGTAATTTGGTGCTACTTTTGCCATGTATTAACTCTCACACACACAAATACATATCCCATATATTAACTCACAAAAAAACAAATGTTTTGCCATAGAGTTGCTACCGACTCATAGCAACCTCCATTGGGTTTCCAAGGCTATAAATCTTTATGGAAACAGACTGCCTATCTTTCTCCCACAGAGCAGCTGGTGGGTTTGAACCACTGACCTTTTGGTTAGCAGCCAAAGGCTTTAACCATTACATGGCCAGAGCTCCTTTGCATTAACTCACTATAGACTTACAATTCATGTGATCTTGTTAATGTGAATTACCCTGGCACTACCTATTTTAACCACGTCCTAAGCAATAATATCTTTGAAATCATAGGCTTAATAACTATTGTATTTACTTTAATAAAATAATAATACTTATTAAAATAAAAAATACTCATTAATGTGTATAACATGAAATCTTTCCTGGCAGCATATACACCGTGCTGAGGGAAGTAAGGTCTTAGTGTCAATCATCTGTCCTGTGGGGACTGCACATCCCATTCTGGTCTGGTGCTTGCCAAATGGGAAGTGCTCAATAAACAGCTGCTGAAGAAGATGATGATGTTATACAGACAGATATGTATATTTTTATATACATGGGCATAAGATTGCTAAAGTCAATAGACTGATATTAGGACTAAATATGACAACTTAGCCACAATGTACCAGGACAAGAATACAACGTTCTAAAGTCTTCATGTTCTACAAGTTCCAAAATCAGTATCATTCATAAATTCAAAAGGCCTGTTGAGCACCTTGCTACACGCAACAGAAGTACTGTGATAAGTCTTACAGAAAATATCGGGTAATTGGCTGGGGGACATCATTTAACAAAGAAAAGAGAACATAATATACGTTTTTCCAGTGGGACCTCCAAACACATAGAGAAGCATTTGGTAGAGTGAGCAGAGCTCATGTAATCACAAGAGAAGTGGAGACAGAGACTTGAATTTGCATCTTGGCTCTTTCCCCTACCAACACCATTTAAAAAAAAAAAAAAAAAAAAGATAATGAAGATGATAAAATGACTCCAGTCGCTAACATTTATTAAGTCTTATTATGGGTCAGGCATTAACTGAGCATTTCACATACAAGTCTCAGCAGATTCTCTCATTGAATTATCCATTTGGAGGTATCATGTTCCCTTTATAGACGATAAAAACAAAGCAGATTATGCACAGGGAGATAGCTCAGGGTGCAGAAGAGTATGAAGGGATGGACACTGGGAGGAGGTAACTATGGGGGGGGAGTGGGAGGGGAGCTGCTGCATTGTAAATTTTGGTCAATGACATGAGACAAAGTATATGTGAACTGCTGTATGAAAAGT